TGAAAAAACAACCAGCTAAAGAGAAGTCAAGAGCAGGAAAACAAGTGGCACTAACTAGCAGAGGAAACGGATACATATTAAACATACTAGAGAAGAATGTTTTCATTCTGTTCTGATTATACACTGTGGAGACAGGACATGCTTTCTTGTGGGGTTTGGCCTGGGCTGCCTTCTAGCATGAAGCACTGGGAAGATGCTCGGGCCAGCCTGGCTTCCCCTCACTATAAAGTGACCTTAACAGTCAGGCTTCACCCATATCTTACTTTCTTGAACTTTCCTCCAGGAGCAAAATCAGGATTTCTGGTCACCCACTGCTCATGGGGCAAGATGAGGAAAAGAAATCCCTGGGAGACAGTGATGGAGATGGAGCTGCCCCGTGGGAGTGTGTCAGCGGGGAGAAGACAAGGCCTGAGGAAGTCACCTTTTAAAGTAGATCTTCCCATGGAATTGTGTTGCCTGCTAAAAATGGCAACATGATGGGGAAACTCAGCAACTCCATGATGCTGGGAGATGTGCTCTGAGCCTGGCCATGAGGAATTTTTCTTTTCTTTTCTTTTCTTTTCTTTTCTTTTCTTTTCTTTTCTTTTCTTTTCTTTTCCCTTCCTTCCTTCCTTCCTTCCTTCCTTCCTTCCTTCCTTCCTTCCTTCCTTCCTTATTGCTTTCTTCTCTCCTTCTTCTTTCTTCCTTCCTTTCTTCCTTCCTTCCTTCTTTCCTTCTTTCCTTCCTCTTTCCTCCTTCTTCTCTCTCTTCTTTCTCTTCTCTTCTTTCTTTCTTTCTTTCTTTCTTTCTTTCTTTCTTTCTTTCTTTCTTTCTTTCTTTCTTTCTTTCTTTCTTGAGATGGAGTTTCCCTCTGTCTCCCAGGCTGGAGTGCAGTGGTGCGATCTCAGCTCACTGCAACCTTCACCTCCTGGGTTCAAGTGATTCTCCTGCCTCAGCCTCTCAAGTAGCTGGGATTACAGGTGCACACCACCACACCCGGCTAACTTTTTGTATTTTTAGTAGAGACAGGGTTTCACCGTGTTAGCCAGGATAGTCTTGATCTCCTGACCTCATGATCCGCCCGCGTCGGCCTCCCAAAATGCTGGGATTACAGGCGTGAGCCACTGTGCCAGGCCAGAATTTTCCCTTTAATACTGGCTGGGGAAAGTCAGGGATTTTTAAAAAGCAACATGAAATATTTCAAAGGCTCTAAATGACAGCCTCTAATTTCTGACAGTTCTCAGGTACCTTTAAGTTTCCCTGACTCTTTTTGCTCATATTACTCTTAAAATAGACTAGCAAGGAAGGGTAGCAGGCTGGGGGTGGCTACTGCTAAAGCTTGCCAGGATGCCAAGCAGGTGGCAATTCCTTGGAGACCACTTAGCGATGAGTGCAGGAAGAAGAGCTCTGTACAACTCCCTGAAATTGCTCCCACTCGATCTGTCACCTTCTGCAGTCTTGGCCCCTTTCCCAGTGTGACCCACTTGCCCCCTGCCCTCCAAGTGAGGGCTTCCAGTACCTCCATTCACTGTTCAATTTTAATTCAGCTCATTGGTTTCTAATGTTGCATTAGCAATATACCTGTTGCGTATTTTGTTTATTCCTTATTTTTGACAAAAAGAGCATGTGTGTGGGTGTTAATCGTTTTGTTGTTGTTGTTGTTTGTTTGTTTGTTTGTTTGTTTTTTGAGACAGGGTCTTGCTCTGTTACCCGGGCTATAGTACAGTGGCATGATTACCACTCACTGCAGCCTCAACTTCCTGGGCTCAAGCAATCCTCCCATCTCAGCCTCCCAGGTAGCTACAACTACACCTGCAACTACAGGTGTGTGCCATCACGACTGGTTAGTTTTTTTATTTTTGAAGTTTTTTTGTAGAGACGGGAGTCTCACTACGTTACTCAGGCTGGTCTTGAACTCCTGGCTCAAGCAGTCTTCTCACTTGGGTCTCCCAAAGTACTGAGATTACAGGTGTGAGCCACCATTTAATAGTTTTTAATGATAAAATATTTAACCCTTGTCTGACCAATAATAATACTAATAACTAACATTAAACTTTGGTTATAGACTGAATTGTTTTCCCTCAAAATTTATATGTTGAAGCCTTAACCCACACTGTGACTGTATGTGGAGATAGGGCTTTAAAGTGATAAACACCAAATGAAGTCAAAATGGCGGGGTCCTAATATAACAGGACTTGTGTCCTCATAAGGAGAGGAAGGGACACCAGCAGTGCCTAAGTACTGAGAGAAGGCCATGTGAGGACGCAAAGAAGTTGGTCAACTTTAAGCCAAGGAGAGAGGCCTCAGAAGAAACCAAACCTGCCGACTTTCAGCTTCCAGAATGGAGAGAAGAAATTTCTGTTGTCTAATCCACCCAGACTGCGGTCCTTTGTTTTGGCAGCCCTAGCAAACGAATCAAGCCTATACTGTGTGCTTGATTCTGCTAAGTGCATTACATGTATTATTTCAGCTAACCATTTAAACAAGTCTACGTGATTACCCCCAATGTACAGACAAGGAAATTGGCAAAATAAGTAAGTGCTGAGGTTTGAACTCAAGTCTTCTGACTACAAGACCCTGCACATAAATTCACTCTACACTACTTCAAAAGGAAGTGTGTGGTCCCAGATGCTCTCAGATAGGGGGTCACCTTTTAAAATAGATCTTTCAGGATGATTTGTTGCTTGCTAAAAATGGAGTCGAGCAGCAGATACTCTCTAAAGGAAAAAAAAAGATCCAGATTCCAGCCCTGACTCAGCCGCTGACTGAGGGACTGTGGTAGACTGAACAGCGGCCCCCTAAAAACCATGTTCATGTCCTAATTGCTAGAGCCTGTGATTATCACCTCCTATGGTAGAAGAGTGAATATCACCTTATATGGCAAAAGATATAGTTAAGATTTTGAGAGGAGGAACTTATCCTGGTTTTCCAGGTAGGATCAAAATGCCATCACCAGTGTCATAATGAAATGGGAAAAGTCCTCTTGCTCCCCTTGCAGGGTGTGTGATGGGGGGTGTGGCTCGCTTCTTCAGTGCTCTCATACCTTGGTGTACTAGAAGAATTGGATCACCATGTGGGTTTGGAGAATAAGTGAAATGTTTTATTGAGTGGAAATAGCTCTTAGCAGATAGGGGAGGCAGAAGGGAGATGGTTTTCCCCTAGAGCTGGGCCACTCAGCAGCCCAGGCTCTCCTCCAACTGCCCTGGTCAAACTGTGTCATTCCACCAGTCGATGGCCTGCTGCCCTGCTGGTGCTTGTTGGTGTGCTCTCCACATCCTCTTGATGTACAATCGCTTGTGTCTCTGCCTGCTAGGGTCTCAGGGTTTTCATAGGCACAGGATGGGGACATGGCAGGCCATGGTGGTCTTGGGAAATGCAACATTTAGGCAGGGAAACAGAAATGCCCGTCCTCACCTCGGTCTGTGGGCACAGAGCCCTCGTGAGGGATCACACCCTTCTACCCAGCACTTCCCTGCCCCGCTTCTGTATCAATAAGAAAGAGGGAAATAACATAGACAGAAGAGAGGAGAAGGCAAAGTGAAGAGAGAGAGAGATGCAGCTACGAGTCAAGGAATGCCTGCAGCCCAGGGAGGCTGGGAGAGGCGAGGAAGGACCCTTCCTTAGAGCCTCCAGAGGGAGCCTGGCTCTGCCAAAATCACCTTGATTTTGGCCTTCCAGCCTCCAGCACTGTGAGAGAAAAAATATCTTGTCGTTTAAGCCCCCCAGTTTGTGGCATTTTGTTACAGCAGTCACAGGAAACGAATGCAGAGATTTTAGACACATCATTTATTCCTCCATGATATAAGCATGTGGGTAAGAGCAATAGTTTTGGCTTGGGTGCTTGGTTGCTGTGCTTGAAATTATCCACCACTGGAGTCACCAAAACTTTACAAAGTTTTGAGGTTTGAGGATGACCGCAAGGTAACCGAAGCAGAACTACTCGGGTGTGGGCTCAGAAAACAGAACCTGTAAAGGCTCTCCAGGTGATTCTAAGGGTGCCTGGGGGCAGGCCCCTGGTTTCTGTGTCTAGGCCCTTGAAGCTCTGATAGTCTGTGATTCTCACTAAACAGAACTCAGGATTCCCTGTTGTCCCCTTCTTCCAAAGCTTCAAGAAACAGTTTGAACTTTTATGGGCAAGGAGACAGCCAGGACTTTCCAGAATAGAAGTGGATGGCAAGGGATTCCTCCCAGGACCACAGAGGGGAATGGAGAATTTAGGGAGAGAGGGAAGAGAACAGCAGGGCAGCGGGTGGAAATGAGAACTCCTGGGAGGTCTGGGGAGCCTTCAATAACATTGGAGCGGACTGCGGACAACGGAGAGGGCTGCGGGGCCAGGGGAGGCACCTGTGAAAATAGCAAATACTTGAGCCAGAGACGATACACATCCTGCCCTGGCTCCTGCAGGTTTCCCGCAGAGGCAAGGATCACAGGGCCAGGGTGATGTGTCTCCCACGATGTCAGCGTCCCCGAGGACCCATCAGGAATTTGACGGGGGAACCCACTTGGGGCTGCAGTGACATCTGAGGAAGGAGTATGAGAGGGATAGAGGGGGTGAGAGCCAGATCATCATTCCCAAAGATATGGCTTTAACCTCTGCCCCCTCCTGCCCTCCAGCTCTGGGAGACCCCGGCAAGCCAAGAACCTTCTCCAAAAGGGAGGGGAGGGGGGGGTGCGGGTGGGGGGAGAGCCTCTGCCGGGCGCCATCATCTCTCCTCCACCACACAGCTGACAGACACTTGAGAACTTTCCTTCCCAAGCCCGTATCCTGCTGGTTCAGGGCAAAGTGTGCAGCTTTCCCACCAGGATCAGTGAGGAAATGGCCTGGTTTGGACTCAAACAGACTGATTTGTTTTCCCAACAAGGCCTCTGCTCAGTTCAGGGAGCCCCAGTGATGCCCATTTTTCCAGGGTGCCTCTCCCACCCGCCTCCCTCTCCCCTCTCTGAGAACACATCACCTAGTGTCTGTAAGGCTTCTGCTTCTTGTTTGACATCCCTTATTTACAAAGCAAACAGAATGTTCCTTTTAACACACATCATGCTAAGTTTATTAATGCAGAAAACAATCCCAGGGGGCCGACCCAGGGGACCCTTGAAACCTGCCAGCACAAACTCTTCAAACGCTCAGCCCGTCAGATCCTCCAGGACAATATTTCACACAATGGAGTAAAAATAATATTTTTCTTTGGACCTTTCCAGCCGCTTTTGTGGCGAGCAGACAGAAATTATTTTCTTACTCTGCTCCCAGAGCAGAAATCTGGACGAAGCTGCGTTTATTTGTTTAACACAATGATTTCATCCTAAATGTCTCGACAGCAAATAGTTGGTGGTTTAATAAAGGGCCTTTGAAAGGAGGCTGGAGCTGGGGAAATGTGAGGCATGTGGCTCGCAGGGGCCGAGCAGGTCGTGGGCTGCTGAGACTGGGTGCCCCCTCCGCCTGCCTGGGAGCTCTGGGGGTCGTGGCATGTTATTGCTCCCTGATCAGAACAATTTGTGCCGCTTCCATCCTGGAAAAGGAAGGAGACTGACCTTTTGGTCATGAATCCCGAACCTTCCCCAAGACCAGCCCTGCCAAATACAGACAGACATAACCCAAAAGCAGATACTTGAACCTGCATGAAGAAAATAGGCCTTTTGTACTTATGTCTGCCTTCCCATGATTAAAAATTATGTCCTGTGTCAGCCAAATGTTGGCTGCTGTTCTGGTGCCAGCCCAGAGTTCTGCAGCCAGGGCAGTGATTAGGAGAAGGGAGAGGGATCAGAGCCAGCTGAGGCCTGATTTCCCAGTGAGCAGAACCTACCCATCCAGGGCCAAAGCCCCCAAGCTTTCCAACCTGCAGTTAGACGTGTCAACGAAAAACTCAAAAAACTCATTTGCGTTTCACTTCTTTTCTTTGGGAAGAATTGTAAGGGGCAGCGAAATGGAACAAGCAGAACACAGAGGAAAAGAACCAAAAGAAGTTCATGAGTGACGTAACAACTGGCCAGGTGGCCCCCATTGCAGCCCCATCATTTTATAGCACAGAAGAGAGGCCCAGAGAGGGGCAGTGATGCCTGAGAGCATACAGCTATTAGAAGAAGAGCCGTTGCTGGAACCAGGCATCTAACCTCCAGGGTTGTAGGGGAAAGGGCTTAATCTAGCCTTACAGCTGACAAAACCAAAAAGCTGAATTATGGGTCTCATTTTTTCCAACTGGGACTTGGTTCAAGGTGATTGAATGTAATTCAGTTCCTGGTGATTTGGGTTCTTGGAACAATTGATTCAGATCTTAATCAGTTCCTGGCTAGAACAGTGAAGAATAGAATATGTTTACACACACACACACACACACGCATGTGCGCAGAGTTATATTTCAAATTATTCACTTATTCATTGAAGAGTGTATACAAAATGCATGTATATTTAAAAGATAATTAAAATGACTTATAATAATAATATATTACTGGTAACTTATTGATATATCTCTGCTCAGTCTTTTCTCATTGCTTCTATATGTTTTTATTATATATATATTATTTTTTACAAAATTAAGATCTCAACTGCTTTATTTTTAAAATTACATAATTTGTGCTTAAGCATTTTCCATATCATTAACAGACTTTCTGAAGCATGACCTTTGAAATGCTACTTGGTATTTCATCATATGATGTGACCGTCATAATTCTTTTCCCCATTACCCTAAAGCTGGTCATAGGACAGAATGTCTTTGAGTAGGTCTTGAAGAATAGTCCCTGAAAGACTGATGGGCTGTGTGGGAGGTGGCCTTTACATTCTTGCAGAAATTTAAACCTCTTTCCTCCACCTCTGAGTGGTTTCAGATTGCTTTCAAATGTAGCTGCCTGCCTCACTCCCAGCTCTGTTTTATCTCTTTCATTTCTCCTTTTTTCTATTTTTTTCCTAGACCCGAAACAGGCAGATTCCTTACATTTGCATATTTTATAACCTCAAAGAGTTTTCATAGAAGTGCACTGATTTAATCTTCATAAAAACCCTACAACATGGGTAGGGCAGAATGATCCCAATTTTATATGAAGGAAAAATGAAGCAGGCAAAAAAAAAAAAAAGAAAAAGAAAAAACAGGAAAAAAGAACGATCCCAATTTTATATTCAATGAATGTATTTTGAGTGCCAACTATTTGCACTTTGGTAGTCACTAAAGGAGGGGCATAAGTAAGTCCATCCTTATCTCAAGGAATTTTCAGTCTAGTGGGGGCACTTTTAAGGAATTCAGTAGAGGATGGCTATTATTGTTTTTGGCTGAAATGACTCGCCTTCTGTCAGGTGGTTAGTAAGTGGCTCAGGAAAATGAACCAGCACATCCTCTGCTTTCTGTACTCTATTCCCTACACTACGTGACTGTTAGTCAAGGGTAGGTCCAGAATACAGGGGGATGGTCAGGGTAGGTGGATGATGGGGAACCTTTAGAATTCCTTCTTCTCCTTCATCTCAAGCTCCAGTGAAAGGACTTCACACTTGAGACACTAAATTCTCCTGAGAGGAGCCAGTCCATGGATTGATGCTTTCTTTGTGCTTGAGGGAGAGATGATAGTATTTATCTTTTGATGAACAAACAGTTGTTTGGGATTTAGCTACTTCTACATCTGTGAAAGGATAAAAAAGGAGAAAGGAAATAAAAATCATTAATCATCTCCCATGTACCAGTCTCTGTACGAGGTGCTTTACGTGCATTATTTCATTTAAATTGGAACTCACAAGAAGCCTGTTTTATTCATCATTGTATTACTTTGGACCTAGTGCAATGTTTGCCACGTAATAAGCATTGAATAAATGCTGAACTAACGAATGAATGCTCATTTTACAGATAAGAAAATTGAGGTCTGAGAAGTTAGGCAACCAGTACTAGGTTACATAGCTAGTAAGTAATGGAACTGGGATTCAAACCCAGTCTTCCTGGCTCTAGAATTGTGCTTTTCCCATCACTGCACCCTTGGTAAGCTGTGTACATGCTTCAGGCTTTGGATGGACTGTTCAGTTATTATGGATGTGGTGAAAATCCAATTCATCGTGCATGGACTACCTTTGGGTTCATTGTTTCCTCTTTCTACAGTCCTAGTATTTTGCTATGAAGACAGCATTTGCTGTTGTATTTTTGCTGGTTGACTGTCCTCCTCTAAGCACTGGACACATCTTTCTTATATCATCACTTGCACTGGGGCTCTGGATCCTTTAGAGTGGAGAGTATGTTGTTTTCAGCACTGCAAGAGATATTTTTACATTCTTTTCAGAATGTGAAGAACTCTGGACTGATCACAGTGGCTCATGCCTGTAATCTCAGCACTTTGGGAGGCTGAGGTGGTGCTTGAGGTCAGGAGTTCAAGACCAGCCTGGCCAGCATGATGAAATTCGTCTCTACTAAAAATACAAAATTAGCTGGGCATGGTGGCATGCACCTGTAGTCCAGCTACTCAGGAGGCTGAAGGAGGAGAATCACTTGAACCTGGGAGGCAGAGGTTGCAGTAAGCTGAGATCACACCACTACACTCCAGCCTGGGCCACAGAGAGAGGCTCTGTCTCAAAAAAAAAAAAGAAAAAAAGAAAAAAAGAAAGAAAGAAATGTGAAGAACTCTGGTCTCCCTCTTTAGAAGCTAAGGCAAAGAATAAAGTTAGGTTTTGCAAATGTTCCCTCGAGATGTGCTTCAGTTGCATTATTAGAGACCCATTATGCAGGGATAAGAGGGCAGCTAAAGGAGCTGCCTCTTTAAATCTTAGAATGTCAATGTTCTCATTTGGCTTGACTTCTTAGTCCTTGCCAGGGAGCTAATTGTTATATCTTGAAGGAAAATCTCTTGCTAGCAAGACTACCTGCTTAGTGCATATATCTTTAAGCCCATTGTATAGACCGTTGCATAGATGCCTAAGGGGAATTTAGAATCCAGGTGCTTATGTTTCATGCATTTCCCATATCTAACATTACATAAGATTTGGAAAACACAATTTTATGAAATAAAATCAGAGCCAACTACTCTGAGGCCGAACACCATTTAACGTTATTCTTTCTGAATAGTGAGATTTTCGCTGATAATAAACACATTGACATAAGAAAACAAAGATCTCTGACGGGTTATAGGCACTCTCTGGGAATATCTAGTTGATACTGAAAGGCCGTGTCAGGACTGTGTGGGAAAGAAAATTGAAGAGTGTCAAGGAGAGTTGCTTTCAGCTCTGGCGGAGAACACTTTGAGTTGCTTTTTTATTCCCTTACCCCTCCCCTGTCCCAAGACTCACGCCCATTGCTCAAGTACACAATGTGCTTGCACCAAACCAACACCAGCAAAGTATTTTCTGGACTGTTCCAGTGTGATTTGTCTTCATCACCCAAGTGTGAGTCTCACCCAAGCAGTCTCTGGGTGTTTTTTGTAAAAGAGGGAGGGGTTTTCCAAAATAGAAGGTTTTGTTTTGCAATTTACAAAAAGTAACAGGATCCTTTCTGAAAAAGGATTCTGTTTTGAATCCCAGAACATAACCTGACACTCCCAATCATCACTTTCACTTTATAAAACTTAGACTGTATCTTGCGGGCTCATTATCTGTCCATTTCCAGCCTGAACCAAATCTAAGCCATTCCATGGGGAGGTGACCTAAGAAACATTTTTCTGCCCAACTTTTGAGACTTGCAGTTTGTATTCCTGACATGTACATACATAAATGATGTAATTGATTTGGGATACTGAGCAGATCATTTAGATATAGTGCCTGGCTTAGAATAACTTACCTTTTGGTTCAAAGCAACCAGGCAACAGAGTTCTTCTAAAATCTCAAAGTGCTACTAAACATAATAAAGACTTTTTTACTTATCATCAAATCACTTCAAGCTCAGGAATGACTTTTAATATCCTTTTCATGACATGCCATATCTATTACAAGTCAAAAGGAGTTCCCCAAACCAAACAATAACATTGAGTGAAAACTTATATAAAGTCTTTCTCTATTAGAAAAGTTAGTTTTGGCTCCTGAACATCAGCTTTTATGGTTTCTTATAAAGTCATGGCTATTTCTTAGCAGTAGGATTTTCCAAGCCTTGCAATGAAATTCTTAGTTATACCTGTATTTAAAATGCAGAATGAGTAACTTTGTCTTCCAGGAAGATGTAGTTGACATACTTTTCACTATTCCTGCCACTAAATACAACTAAAAACCCTGGGCATCATATATGAAACTAGCAGAAGAAAACTCTAAAAGATGGAGAAATGTAGGAAGACCAGCTAGGAACATGATAGCCCAAGGAATGACATGGAGGTGAGTTCCCTGGATTTTCTTTTTGCCTCATGTAAGCTAGATTCGGAGCTGAGAAAGGTAGCAACCCAGAAATGCCTGTGGATGCAGACACTAAAAGCCCCAAGGAAGCTTGCTGTCTCTAGCCAAAGGACAAGGAAAGGTGCAGCTTGGCAAAACAGAAAACTTACATAATAACTGTTCTATTCCAAGTAAATACCACAGAAAAACTGTGACCTTACCCTACATGCCAGCAAAGCCTAGACTCCCACCATCACAATGCTGTAATGAGGCAGCCTAAGCCTCTGCCATGATGGAATCAGAGAAGGCCACATAAGGAGCCAAGACTTTTTTCTCCACCTCATTGATAATGAGATCCTCCCTGTCTCTGCAATGTCAGTGGAAACCATATGAAGAGCCTAAGCTTTTACTGTCACTGAGCAGTAATAAGGCAACCCTCCTCTTCCCTACTGGGACAGTGTCAGAGAAGGTCTAGTGGAGAGTTAGGATTTTCACCATTGCATAATGATAACAAGGGCACCTCCATCTCAGTATCAGTGGAAACCACATGGGGACCCAGAATCCACATCCCACCCAACAGAAACAGAGTCCCCCTTCCCCCACCCAGATATTGACTGAGGACGAGAGGGGAACCTGGACTTCTACCTCTACCTATTTGTGACAAGATGACACCCCACCTCCTTTTCCTTCTGGAGTGATATAAAAATAAAATCCAGCTAAAACAGAAGGTTAAAGTAAGACCCCCAGAGTCTCATAATTCAGTACAAAAATGAGGTTTCAATTGAAAATCATTTGTCACACAAGAACCAGAAAGATCTCAAACTGAACGAAGAAAGACAAGCAATAATGGTAACACTGAGATGACA